TTAAACATGTATCTGTTAGCCACAACGATTATAACCGAGTGCCTTTGTGTGCAACTACTTTTTGAGATGTATGTCTGAGGAGTGCCAATGGATATTCAAATCCTCATGTTTGAATAAGACAACTTTATTTCGAGTTAGATGTTTCAATAGCGAGCATACATGTCCATTAAAGGATAAAGTGTGCTCCCAGCGTCAAGCAACAGTTGGTTTGATATCTGGAATAGTTGCTCCAAAATATGTGAATCATCAAAGAAAGCACACACCAAAGGACATCCAAGAAGATGTGAAACGCGAATTGGGAGTAGACATTAATTACATGAAGGCATGGCGTTCGAAAGAAAGAGCTATATGAAAGATTAATTGATTCTTGGCGTTTTTCAACCATTTTAATTGGATCGTTCCTATACTTATAAGTTCTACTCACCGTTCGAATGTTGGAAGATGAATAGTCAGAACCTGCAACCATTGCAACATTGTTAACGAAAACATACAAATAAAAATGAGCGAAAAGTCAATGTTAATCAGTCATTAAAATAGTATGAAGAACTAACAAATTCAACCAATGAAAAAAATCCTAAATTTGAACTTTGAAACTACTACATCTATAAGTTAGATACATTAAAATGGTGTCATACAAAAATACATCAACCGAAAAAAAGAAGAAGATTACTTTACCTCTATATATAATGATGCTTATGTAGAGTTGGGTATGAAATTCTTACATCCAAAATATGCATTGAATAGGTTGAGAAGAAGGGGTAATGGAAGATGAAGGATAATAACGTGTAGGTGTGGGTAGAGATACAAAGGAGACGTGTGACTGGGGAGGGAAACAATGGTGTTGGAAAGAGAAAAAATGATTTGAATTGTAAAAAGTCCTAATAATTAAGGAAGTATAATGTTAGGATAATTATTAATTACCACTTTTAATGGGATTGTGTATCTGATTATATTTTTTAAAAGATACGGTATATTTATTAAAAAATGGTATTATAAGTAATATTTTTAAACTAGTGGGAATATATGTATTTATGGTATGAAAGTATGTCTATATAGGTAGTTTTTCCAAAAATAGTAGGCCTTCTTAACTATAGTTTACTTATTTACATATCATAGGTATAGTTTAAATAGTCACTCCGAATCAGATTAATATATTTCGCCCTTTTTATAAAATAATTGTATAAAATCATGTTTAATTATATATAACTAATTATGCGGTAATAAAGGAAAATAATACCTTAATTAAAGATCATTTAGTTTAATTAGAATACTTTACCAAATAAGACTCCTTCTTCTTCTTGATGAAACACTAAGTACTTTTTCTTCTTGACGAAATACAAAGTACTTCTTCTTGACGAAACACATAGTACTCATTGTTTTTATTATTTTGAAACTTCTTCAGAATTAAAACGGATTTCATTGATTTTTGTAGGATTGTATACCACAATCTATCCATTACGAGTTATATATTTTTCTAACTATATTCAACTTATATGTATTTCATATATCACTTGGTTAATTTATGTTTAATTTGCAGGGTTGTATTATTGACTACAAATATCCGTTTGAATTGTATAGTTATTTATAACTTTTAAAATATTTTTAAGCGTATTAACATTCTATATGAAGTTGGTCATTTGATTGAAAATCATTTGTGTATGTATATAATTGGTATCAAATTTCAGATTAAGTTTGTTTGTGTGTGTTTATGTGTCTAAGCATATTTTATAGTTTGTATATAAGTCGTTGTATATTTTAAGTCAATAAATATGTATAATTGAATAATTTTTCTTTGACTCATATCCTTTTGTATATGTTACTCCATATTATATAGATTGTATACAATTTGTTGTATATTTTAAGTCAACAAATATGTATAATTGAATAATTTCGTTTACTTATATAAGTTTGTATATGTTACAGTTTGAACTCTATATTATATAGATCGTATATAAGTCATTGTACATTTTAAGTCAACAAATGTGTATAATTAAATAATTTTTCATTGATTTATATCAGTTTGTATATGTTACGCTTTGAACTCCATATTATAAAGATGGTATACAATTCGTTGTGTATTTTAAGACAACAAATATGTATAATTTAATTTTTATTCATTTATATTAATTATATATATGTGACGGTTTGAACTCTATGTTATACAGATTGTATACGAAATATACAAATAATAGATCTTCATTATACAAATAGTTGTAGTTGTATAACTATATAATATTGATTGTATAACTGTAGTCTTATAAATTGCATAACTGATTATTTATACATATGGTTATTAATTATGTAATACTCCCTCTGTCTAATAATACTTGTCCACTATTGACTTTGCACACTTCTTAAGAAACTATAAATAGAAGAGTAATTTTACCATATCAACCTTTGAACATAATAAATAAATGGAAATGACTATAATTAACAATAAAGGTAAATTAGGAAATAAATGTAAAATTATTCATTGATTTCATAAAGTGGACAAGTATTGTTGGACATCCCAAAATAGTATAGTGGACAACTATTGTTGGACGGTTGGAGTATATACAATTAACTAAAATCACAACCCATTTATTTTGTCATATACAAATTGAAAACAAAAACAAGGCTATATCTCAAAATCTTTTGCTTCATGTTGGTCCATTGCATCATAATCATCTTCCACAATTGTTTTTGAGTCATTCTTACTGGAAGGTGTTTTTTGTACTTTTTCCTTGGAATCATTAACTCTTTTTCCTCATTCTCTTTTTTTCTTTGGAGCTTTTAGCCCCTTCTTGATGGGGTTGCAAAACTTAGATCTAATCTCCTTCTTTGCTATGTTTGAATCAACAACCTTAGATTTAGCAATGGACATGCAGTTCCTTCAAATTCTTGAGTTAATCCCAATGAAAAAGATTTTGACATCATGATATAACACAAGTTATGTTTTACAATGCAAAACAAGTTATGTCTTACTTCGCAAAACAAGTTATGCCACTTAATTCATGTGAAACTTGTGTCATTAGAGACATAAGTTCAGTTCATAACTCATAAGTTATGTCTTACTAGACAAAACTTAGGTATAAGTTTAGTTTCAAAACATTATTCTTTAAGAAGTTCATAACCCACAAGACATAACTTAGTCCCTACAAAACGTATGCCAATAGAAGCATAGGTTCAGTTTCAAAACCAACAAAGTTATGCCTCAATAGGCACAACTTATTCCTGCATCTTATGTCGGACAAGACAACAGTTCTCTAAATTTATACCTTGCAAATTAGATACTACATAACTTATATCGGACAAGATAAAAGTTCTCTAAATTTATACCTTGCAAAATTAGGTCACAATTAAAAATATTTTAGCCCATAATTTTTTATGAAATGAATAATAATAAAAAAAATAAAAAATCATTATCAATTAAGGAACAAAAATTAAAGTGATATGACCTACTAAGGAACAAAAATTAAAAACCACCCAAAAAATAGCCATCCATGCAAGCACTTGAAAATGGTATACATATTGGACAAAATGTGTAGTTGATAGTTGTCATTTCTTAATGAAGTTAATCTTCTTGCAAAGTATTTCCACAGCCCCAAGGCCCCAACCCCCAATCTTCTTGCAAAGTATTATGCTTTTCTAATTAAATAGATATAATAACATGTTTTAATTACAATTTTAGAATTATATTTTTCTTATACTCCCTCCTTTTTATTTTATTTTATGTGACACTTTTCGGATTTCGAGATTCAAACAAGTCTATTTTTGACCGTAAGTTTTTCGTACATCTTTTAAACATTCTGAATTATCAATTATTGTGACTTATAATACTTTTTATATAGTTTACAAATATATAAATTTCATTTAAATTTTTTTTGAAGATTTCATGTGCAAATTGCTGGTCAAACTTAATTTGTTTGACTCTTGAAAAACGAAAAATGTCACATAAATTGAGACAGAAGGAGTATTTGTTTTTGAAAGTCCATTTAATATGCATAAATATCAAAATACAATAAACTACCTTTTTAAAAATTTGAAACACATAAGCTTAAAATCTTAATTCTAGCTACATATGAAAACGAGTAGTTATTCGTCTATCCGCATTTTTGTTTTAGTGCTATATTAGGTCTTCGATTAAGTTCGATTTACATACTTATTTTTTTATATACTTTAATTGAGTTGAGAGTCTTTCACAAATAGTCTCCTTACATGCTTCACTTTTTTCAAATCCTACTTACGAAATTATATTGAATACGTTATATATAGTTGTTTGTTGTGCATGAGTTGATCATCATTGTTTCTAGCTAGCTAACTTGTGCTTACCAACAGTTAAGAAAAAATGTTCATATTTGCCTCTTTTTTAACTAAATCCAAAGAATACAATTTTGTACATATGTTAATTTATTGCATTTTCCAAGTTAATGATGAGCTCTTCCCCCCCAACCTCAACCCAAATCAAAAGATACAGTTGTTCTTTTTTTGTTGTTAACCATTTAAATCAAAGGATACAGTTGTTCTTTTTTTGTTCTTAATCATGTAAATGAACTGGTAGGAACTAGGAAGCAAAGAACAAGAGATAGAACACTTTCTCGTATAGATAGGAGTCAGAATTTAAAATTTATGAGTTCAAAAGTTTAGTTCTATGTATATGCATATAATATATATATATATATATATATATAAATTTTGAAACCCGTAAACAATATGCAAATTAAAAGGTTAGCTCAACGGTTAAGGGCATTCAAATTGCACCCCTAACCTCTAAGATTGATTTTTATGTACTACATTATATTTTACATATTTATTTTTCAAACTCTTTAAATGAAAATTTTGATTTCGTCACTAAAAATAAAATATGAATTTTGTAAGTATTAGTAACAGTATTTGTTCGTACATACAATAATTTATTGCGTCAGCAATATTGATGTTGTTCACATGCATTGGCTTTCCTTTCTATATAATGGAAAAAATGTCTCAACATAATCCATTACTTTATATTATGGTATTTTTTGTTTTTGAGAGGAAAAAAACAATAGAAAAATGATGAGTTGTTGGTTTTCATCAATTGTGGTTTGGTTTATTTTAATTATTATTATTATAACAACTTGTAATAATTTGGTGGAAAGTAAATGTGCATTTGAAGCAATTTTTAATTTTGGAGATTCAAATACTGATACTGGTGGATTTAATGCTGCATTTCCATCTCAAGGGCCTCCTTATGGAATGACTTATTTTAAAAGACCAACTGGAAGGGCAACTGATGGAAGAGTCATTGTTGATTTTCTTGGTATGGTTTTCATCTAATTTCATTTATATTTGAGTCGAGGGTCTTTCGAGACAAACTCTTTATCTGTTGTAGGAGTAAAATCTGCGTACATTATACTTTTTCAGAATTAATTTGTGAAATTTTATTGAGTTTGTTGTTGTTGTATTCATTTAGTTCAATTGGATCTTACTATAAGTATTGATTTGATTGTTATACTATTTTTTTTATTAGTCTGTTTAAAAAAGAACGAAAACACTTTTATAGTTGGAAAGTACTTTGGTTTAGATTTTCTATTTTTGCTCTTGAGAAGTGATTTTTAAAGTTACATAAATGAGTTTTATAATTAATACATTCAATTTTGACATATTTATGATCATAATTAAGTTCCAAAAATCTTTATTTCTTTTGTAAATAGTGTTAAGTACTCAAACTATATTTTATAAAAAGATGTGTTTGGTATAACAATTTTTTTTTAAAAAAATTTCCTGTGTTGGATTGATTAAAATATTTTTGTGTCATCTTTATCGATTAGTAGATAACTTATTTTATTTTCGACACTACAAATTCCACATTTAAAAAGAAAGTATACTTATAGTACATTTTTTTTTTTTTTAAAAAGGGGCATATAACATAAATTCTTTATTTAGATTAATTAAAGGGCAGTGATGTGCACATATCATTTTTGTTCATGCAAGGGAAGGATCGTATCCTAAGGGCTTAGGGTGTTATCTAGACAATTTATTACTTTTTATGTCTCAATTTATGTAATTCATTTTTTTTAGTGAGTCCAAAATAGATTGACACATTTATATATTTAGTAACTTTTTAATTTTAAAATGTCTTATTTACCCTTAATGAAATAATTTTTACTCATACAAATATCTATCACACTTATTTTAGACCACAAGTTTCATTTTTTTTTTATTTCTTAAACACTGTGTCATGAAGTCAAACTTCATCATATAAAGTGGGACGGAGGGAATATAATGCAAGGGTTAGTGCTTGCTTGCTCGATTCCATTATCTATAAATCACACATAGATTAGTAAAGGGTAGCTCGATACACAAATCATCATGCGTTCATGTAGAATTTCGGAGAAGGGTCGCACCAAAAATGATGTAATGTAGATAGCTTACGCAAGTATTAATGATTACTTCCACAACTCAAATTTGTAATCTATATATATATATATATATATATGCCCATTCTCTAAGTTATCATCACCAATGTCATCTTTTTCTTACTATTCCTTAAATGACAAAAAAACATATTATTGTGACCGGAGTTGACAAAAAAGGCTTAGCTGTAAACAGTAAAGTAGTTGGTCCATATAAAGGTGTAATTATTTTTTGTTTTGTCCATAGGTTTACCTCTCTTTGTCCTATTAGTAGAAATTTATACATGAGATCAAGTCCGTGACTTTCTTTTGTCTTTTTTCTCATAACGTTATTGTGCTTTATATATAGGGAAGCGGAGATTTAGAGAAGGCATAATACATAAACGTGTAATTTAACTTGGTCTCAAGTGATATTTATAATCTTTAATTATGGGTGTATATAAATAGATATTTAAATTTGTATAAAATTGAATAATAACCATATTTGTTCTAAGTGACGTCCTACATGACAATTTTATGTCTAATGTGGCGGTCTACGTGTATTATGTCACGTAGAACGTGTGTGTCTACTTGTTCAATTTTATACAAGTTTAAGTGTGCCTAGTTGTGCACACACCCAAAGTTGGAGGGTACAGATGTCCGTTGAATCCAAGTAAAATGGCATATTTATGTTATTATGTCTTTAGGAAAAGGTAAAAATGTCTTCGTGTAATCTATATGTCATAGGTTCAAGCTGAAAAATCAATTATATATTGATGTTGTATTAAGTAGGTTGCCTACATCAGATCTTGACCATCCTTAATGAAATTTCTGACTTCGACAATTTACAACTCTGCTTGAACATGGCTTATGTGCGGTCTTTCCCCTGACCCTGCTTGAATATTTCTTATGCACCCTACTTGAACATGACTTATATGCGGCCTTTCCCTGAACCCTGCATAGGTTACTAAAATTGCTATTAATTAATAGTGTTGTTTGATATGCAGCTCAAGGATTAGGTTTGCCATTTTTGAGTCCATATTTGCAATCAATTGGATCTGATTTCAGACATGGTGCAAACTTTGCAACATCAGCATCCACAGTGCTCATGCCACAAACATCATTGTTTGTATCAGGTGTTAGCCCTTTTTACCTAGGAATTCAACTCCAACAGTTCAAGCTATTTAAGGCTAAAATTGATGAATTTCAGAGTAAAGGTAAAATAAATAATTTACTACTTTATTAGTATTCCATTTTAAAAAATATTCATATATTTTTTTTCATAATCTTTATATTATTTTTTCTTAATTTTCAGGTAACACTAATCTGCCTCCCTCAGACATATTTGGGAAATCTCTTTATACATTCTATATAGGTCAGAATGACTTCACTGGTGATTTGGGAAGTAAAGGAATAGGTGGAGTGAAGGAGTACTTGCCTCAAGTAGTTTCCCAAATTGTTAGCACAATCAAGGTAATATTAACATTAGAATTAATATACGTTTTGTCTCAATTTATATGACATAGTTTGGTTCTGTACTGAATTTTAGAAAGCAAAAAGAAACTTTTGAAGTTTGTGGTTTTTAAACATGTCATAGTATTTGTGTGTCAATAACAACTTTTTATTAAGGGTAAAATGAAAGAAAAAAAAGTAAAGTTAATTAGTTTCAATATATAAATTGTTGAGTTCCCTACATCGCTTGTGGATAGGAGACTTCTTCTATGGTCTTGGGCAATGCTCATCTCATGATCTACCTTTTGAATTGAGGTTTACTCAGAGTTCACTGTATCAAACCCTAACCAACTCAAATTGTGGTTTACCCGATGTTTGACCCCCATATTATATTATCCACACTTCAACTGGATTAGGCCTAAGCATGTTGGAGCTATTGAGTTTCTTACATCGATTATGAATTGGGAACTTGGTTACCTCATGATCTAGATTTCGAGGTTAAATTTGACTATTGATTTTTCATCAGGAAATCTATGGATTAGGGGGAAGAACATTTTTGGTACTTAACCTTGCACCAATTGGATGTTACCCAGCATTTTTGGTGAAGCTCCCTCATGAAAGTTCTGATATTGATGAGTGTGGATGCTTGATATCATACAACAATGCAGTTGTGGACTATAACAATATGCTTAAAGATGCATTGGCACAAACAAGAAAAGATCTTTCAGATGCAAATGTTATTTATGTGGACACTCATGCTGTCCTCTTGGAGCTTTTCCAACACCCCACTTCTCATGGTACGTACTCCAATTGAGCACCTAAACATATTGAAAAAGATTGTGTGTTTATAAGCGTCCATTACACGTAGACAAGTTGACCATTTAAAATAAGACGACTCCTTTAATTATACATGAGGTTTTATGGCTTATGAAACTAAGGTGTATAATTAGAGGTGAAATTTTTTAAATGGTTCAACTTGTCTACGTATAATGAGCACTTAAGAACATAGACAAAAAGTTTCTCCAAAATTAGAGACTGAAGTATCTAATAGGAATACTTTATCATGCATGTGTTCAGGTGTGGAATCAAACCAAAGTATAATTCGAGTATCTTAAATGAGGTTTACTAACAAGTTGAAGGGGCTATCGATGTATTCCGCCTAAATTTGTTGACCAACTTCTAATGATGTCTCTGTTTGTAGGGTTAAAATATGGAAACAAAGCATGTTGTGGACAAGGAGGTGGTTCTTACAACTTTAACCAGGAAGTATACTGTGGAAATACCAAAGAGGTAAATGGACAAACACTGTCAGCCACAGCCTGTGAGGATCCATACAATTATGTTAGCTGGGATGGGATACATGCCACTGAAGCAGCAAACAAAATCACAGCAAATATCATTCTCAATGATGGTTCTATTTTTGATCCTCCATTTTCACTACATAAATTCTGTGATATTCAGCCTGTAGGTTGATACATCATCCACAAGTTGTTACTAGGAGGAACAAATAAATAAAGGTCACGTGTTTAATTAAAATTGACGTTGATAAATAGATGCATTATGTTTGCATGTGCAAAGAACAATGGATCAACAGAAACATTCTTTAACACAAACAAGCCAACATCCAGAGAGTTTGAACCCACATTTCACTCTTAACACTAGGTCTAAGCTCGAGGCACACTGAGCTGCTGTCTCTAGTTAAAATGGCACCAGAGAAACAGAGACTGAACAAACCAAACACACTAAGACATACCTTTCATGGTTCACTTGCATTTGGCTCCCATCGTCTTCAAGTTATTACCCAACCTTTCAACTAATTCTCTTGCTGCACTACTACATTCTCATTGTAATCTTTTCCAGTTACAAAGTGTAACAACTGCAAAATATTTCAGTAGACGATGGACATCTTAATTTAATTCTTCGGACTCTGCAGCCTAATAACTACAAGAAAACAGAATATCCCTTGTGGGAGTGAATAATTACCTCTCCCAAATGATGAAACACAATCCCAGAAGATTTTAAACTTCCTACTTAGACAAACTTGTTTTTATTGTTAAAAGATTAGATGTTCCAACTTGGACTAACTTTCAGAACTCCAAAGTTGATTCCTTTCAAACTCTGTTGTTCAAACAGCATGCATCAGTCAAAATAAACAGTGTAGCAACCAAAATAAAAAGAAGGAAGCAAGTCAGATAATTTAAGTTCACTCCTAAACAAATTTCATCATCCAGAATCACGACACCTTACAAAACTATTCAAAAAGTGGTAGGGATGAATAGAGTCCAAATCCCTAATTATTTTCACCTAAGAAAGGCAAGAAGTCTAGGCTAGTAGTAACCTATGAAGAAATTGGTTCATCCGCCTCAGGTCCAACTATAAATCTAGAGGCCCTACAAAACCTAAATGCTGGGGTCCTGCAATCGAAGTCTACTCATTCCCATCCTCGATTCCAAGTTTTCCCTGTTCTCAGAAGACAACTTAGAGCACACTGCCAGAAACAGGTAGACATATATTCTACAATAATCACTCAATGCAAGGACATCAAGTCCCTCTAATGAGATACAGCAACTAATTCAGAAATGTGACGACACCCAAACATTTCAGAAGTATAACGTAGGCAAACGATCCATCAGCAGATAGCCAGACTACATGCATAACTGAATAGAAACTAGCCAGAATATTGCATTCATTTCATGAAAGCACAAATTTTCAGACAGAACTTCGATGCACAAAACTCAATCATACAACTTCAAACGATACACAAAAATACTTTTTCAATGTTTATGGAAAAAGAACGCCACAGAAATATTAGCAAGGCCTATGATAGACCTCAGTAACAACAGTTTTGAGTTTAGATCAGATTTTGTCAATGTCTTCATCCTCAAACTCAATGTAATCATCACCAGCACCCTCATCCTCTTCATCAAGACCATTAGCAATGCCCTCATTAAGCCTTGTGTTCTCTGGTAACTCTCCATATGCCTTCAATAACCTGGCCTCATCAGGCATGTACTTCAAGATCACATCAGCTTTGTCATCCTGGGGAAATCAAATAACTAGTTAAAAACAGCAATATCCACATTGGATAAGAACCCAAATCTCAACAAAGCAAACCTATAATAAAATAAATTTCCAAGTAAAACAACAACACACCTTAATCCCAAGCTAATTGAGGTCGGCAGTATGAATCATCAATTATCAAATGCTCTGTTTGGGTCTAAAACTATTTCAATACTCCACGCTTATGGAAACACTAGTTCTTCTCTGAAATGCCCTAGTGGATATATCTCTAATATACTAATATCTTACAGCAAGCACTAGTCTTTTAGATAGTATCACCTATACAGATTTTTCAACTTCCATTGTATTCCACCTCTGTCTAGATCTTTTGAGAACTTCTTTCATTGTTCAATCATCATGTTTTCACATCTAAAATCAGTGAACCTACTAGGTAACACGTGAACAAACCATATCAAGTAACATTTTCATTTTATCCTCAGCATGCTACTTGCACCCTCTGATGGATGTGATCATATATGATCTTATCTAATCTTGTATGACCGCATATCCATCTTAATACTCGCATCTCTACAACATACATCTTGTAGATTTGTTGGGCTTTAGATGTGATCTTTCAATTGTTCTATAGAACTTTCTTTCACTTTGATAGATATCATCCTATAACACTATTGTGACAGTCCATTTCAACCATCCTACTTTAATCTTATGTGTAAAATCTTCATCTATCATTCTATTCTCCTAGAACATTGAGCTACACATCTAAACTGTCAACAATTAGATACCTCAACCCCATCAAATCTCACCTGGACTCCAGTCCTATCTCTTTGGCTGAACGAGCAGTGCATGAAGTTTTGTCCTACTCCCAACTTATCTCAAATCCCTTACTCTCTAAAGTGCTTCTCTATCACTCGAGCTTTTGAATGACAACCTCACTAGTTCCATCAATTAACAAGATTTTGCTTGCGAAGAGCATAAAGCATGGTACCTCATGCTGTATATCATTGGTTAGCCCATCTCATTACAAGTGTAAATAGACACGAGCTTAGCGCAAAGCCCTAGTGCAAAACCCACAATAATGGAGAACTGCTCCCGCCAATCCCACAACTGTTTTCCCACTTGTGACAGCTCCCTTGTACATATCCTGTATGCCATTTATATATTTAACATGAATTCTTTTCTTTTGCATTACCTACCAAAGATACTTCTTCGCACTCTATAGTATGCTTTCTCTAAGTCCATATATATCATCATATGTAAGTCCTTTCTCTACCTATAATTTTCAATCTTTTCAGTAAAAATATAGCCTTTGTTTTAGGCTTTTCAGGCACTAATTGCCAAGTAAAACGAGGAAGGAAATCTTCATACACAGACTCAATCACACACACCAGTGCCACTTCTAATTGAAAATCAGCAGAAAGTAGCAATTACAAAAACTATTTTTCTCTTGAAACGGGCAGATGTATGTCAAGCCAGAAGCAGGAACAGATACATACATACATATATCATATATATATATACACACGCACGCGCACACAGACACACTTGCGGGCATACAAAGGGGCGGATTTAGGGTATGAGGTGCGGGTTCCCGGAAACGAGTAACTTTTGCACAAACCTTGTATTTATATTGAGAATCCACTAAACATACAATAATTTTTTAGTTGGAACCCAATATAAAAATGGTCTGTTGATAGTGGCAAAGGGGAAACCTGTTAAGTTTTGCTGTCCTCTGCAACGGTTTGAATCCTTTGGGCAACATAATTATCTTTTTTTTTCTCCTTTTTTCTTTTTTAACAAAAACCACGCATGCCTTCATTTTGTCTCAATTTTTCTTTATAATTTGAGATTATTGGGAACCATTAAACTCCAAGTCTTAGATCCGCCACAGCGCACACACACACATATATACATAGACAAATCAATCATACACATAGACTAGCTACTTCCTTGAGATAGCATGTCCATACTACTACAAAGTAGTAGGTGCACCATACCCAATAACTTAAAATCCTCGGGACTTTATGCCCCCCAATCAAAAAAATATGGAATCAATAGTTCTATCCTAATACAGAGGAGGCTATTTTTGTACATCATCCCATTTATCCATTTAGGCAAGGTGATCAAAGTTATACATTACAGAACAGAAACTACTAAAAAGAAAACATCTTTGTCACACCAAATTTACACATTGTTGGTGAGGGTTTGATCCTCAAGCTTGTAACCCCCTACACCCTTTTTTTTTTGAAAAAAAAACGCCAAATTTTATTTCTCAAAACAGATATGAAAAACACAAATAGAAGAAAAGGGTATCGGAAAAATTGGATCTTGCCTGATAGTCACGGAGGCCAACAAGGATGATATCACCAGCAGCGATCCATACTTTCTTATGCATCTTACCACGTATGTGACAAAGACGCTTAGTTCCATCAATACACATAGCTTCACAACGTCCATTACCAAGCATACGAAGGACCTGAGCATATTCCTGTCCATCTTCTTTGAAAACAAGCTCTCTTTTCTCATCGTCGGCTTCATTCTTTCCTCTCTTCCTGTTCTTACCTCCCTTACCCTTGTTCTTGGGCATGGTTGTTTGATTGAATCGCTTCTCTCAAACTTCGATTGGAGAAGGAAGAAACCCTAAATTGGAAAAAGGGGGGCGTTCTTGTTCCTTTTTATCTGAATGATTTTTTTTTTGTTGTCTTGATTAGAAATGTTACGAGCTAGCGTTGAAGCCACGAGAGCCATGGTGTCACTTAGACCATTTTACCCTTGTACACGTGTATAGTGTCACAAAGGAGCACAATTTTTTTTTTCGGTGTTCGGTACATGAATTGTTGCCCAACTAATTCGAATTCACGTCACGAAGGATTTTCCTTCTAAATATGCATAATGAAGGGATTAGTACTGCACGATTTAATAATACATTAATTAGTTTTTTCAAGTGTTTGATTCATCGTTTCCCACATAATCTTGTGTTTGGTTTAAAACTCTACAAAAAACTTGTTTCTTGTTATACCCTTGAGGTATTTTGAGATTTTATATTTCATTTAACAAGTCAAGTTAAATATTAAAGGCGGAATAGCCTGAAAGACCCTTGTAGTTGACTCAATTTGTCAGTTGGATCCATGTACTTACGACTTTGCCAACTAAACCTTTAAACTCATTCAAACACAATATTTTAGACCCATTTCTCATCCGATGGGTGTGCGTGTAGTACACTCATTTTACACATGAAATATCACGTCATTTTTTAATGACACATCAAAAATTAAATATTTAAAAATAAATAATATTTTAAAAAATGCAATTTTCTCTCTCTCTCTTACTCACTTCACCCCCTTCCCACTTCATCCTCTTTATTCCCACCTTCTATCATTTTCATCCCAAAAATAAAAACCACCATTTTCATCTTTTTTCATAGTTCACACTCAAAAAATTCTTCAATCATAAAATGTGATAAATTATAATTAGTTCTTGCACATAATTTAGGATTTTATTTATTTTGATTTGATAAAAAGAGATATCAAGAAAACTTCAAATTGAAAAAGATATGTTTATATGTAAATTCAAGTAATAGATCTTAAAGAATTAAGTTTATATAAGTGGTGAATGGTATTATTTCTTGCAAAAACTTTTTTCAATTTTTTATTTGATGATTTTATTGTGATAATGTGTAAGTCAAAGAAGAACAAGAGAAAAGGAGTAGTGGCAGGGAGGGTGGGGGTGGATGGGGGTTGAGGTTGAAAACGATGAAGAAGAGGAGAAAAGGAGTAGGGGCGGGGGAGGGTGGGGGTGGTGGCTTAGGTTGAAGAAGAAGAAGAGAAAAAAGGTGGGGTGGGGTTGAAAAAGAAGAAGAGAGAAGGGGTGGGGTGGAGTGAAGAAGAATGAGGTTTTCAATATAAATTATTATTATTATTATTTTGTCTTATAATTTTGATAATTTTAAAATAAAAATATTGTATTCACTTGCTTCAAAACGCGTGGGATCACATATTTGTCCAACTAAGCCACTTCAGTGCTACATAAGCCCGGTCAATGGTCAGAGGGATTTTAAAATAGAGTTTCATTGAGTTTAAGGATTCATTTGGCAAAGTGATGAGTAGAAGGGTTCAACTGACAAACGAAGCCAGGTACAGGGGCCTCCCATGTCATTCCGCCAATATTAAAATATATTTTTAAAAAATTATTATTAATTTTGAGGTGTGATATGCCACGACGGCAATCCTTGATAGCATGGTGTATTTCTAATTTTTTGTTGGTCAAATAGACTTTAAATTTAACATAGATTTAAGACTACTTAAATTGTTCAAATACACAAAGTTTATTAAAAAAAAAGTTCAAGTGGTCAATCGACAAATTACATTTTAAAAAAATGAAACCTGAACAAAAATCAACCCAATATAGCAAATCAAACATGGGAAAAAAATATTAGTTTGTGAAATTATAATTACATTGGACGAATTTGGAGTATTAAAAAGAACATTTATAACTATTTCAATATAAATAAAAAAGGACACTAAATTACAAAGAAATTTAGGAAAAAAGATTGAGGGATAGTTTAGTCATTTAGGGGTCTTATCCAAGAATTGTTAAATCTTGGATTAGTTGTCCCTCCATTTTCTAGGGATAATGTAACATCCCGCCTTAGAAAAAACTAATAATAGAAAGAAATAATTTGGAAAGAGCCAATTTGAGAATTTTGCAAGTTATGCTTAAGATGTGAATTTTGGGTCGACTTCAAATGGTCATAACTTTCAGTACAAGATGAGTTAAGTGTATCAAATGAAAGGTCTTGAAATCCTTTTTCCAACGCCACCGAGTTTGCTAATTTCGAGATCGGGTGAGGGAGGTATGCCTGTTTGAAGTTAGTATGTCCAGATAAGGAAAGTTACCCGAATTAATGAGGGATATTTTGGTATTTTCCTTACACCATCATATTAAAAATATTTTTAGTAATATTTTGGGGTCAAATATGATTTGGGTCAGTTTTACAAATCTAAAATTATGCTTAGAGTTTTAGAAGAGAGTTCAAGAAGAGAAAAATATGAGAAAAGGAAGAACGATCAAGATTTCTTGCGAATCGAGAAATTGTTTCGCCAAATCGAGGTATGTAAGCTTTCATAGTATTGGGTTAGTTCACCCACACGCCAATCATGATTTACATATTTGAATTCATCCATAAAGATTGAATGATTTAAGTTCTAGAGGAGTTTCTTATAATGTTGTCATTCGTTCTTAAATTTTGATGTTTGGTTGAGTTCTTGAGGCGAGGATATTGTTAATGAGTTGAGTAAATTGACAAATTCTTGGGTGGGTTTCACTGAACTTGTTTAGGGTTATAAGAATTTGAGAGTTTTTACCTTAGAATTTCAATAGGTATGAGTTGAATCGAGTTTGGGAGAGGAAGAAAAAATCGGGTAGAAATTGGTGCCCAGGTTCGCGTTGCGGACCTGCTCCCCCAGAGAATTTCCTCTCTCCGCGTCGTGGAGAGAGCGCGGACTCCCTGTCTCAAAAAATTATTACCCGACCAAATAAATAAATTCTTCTCCACGTCGCGCCTTTGCTCCCTAGTCAGTGTTTTCGCCCGTTTCTTATTATTAACTATTTAAAAACTCATTTAATCATCACTAGACCCTTCATATAATAAATCATAACTCTTAAATTCATAATTCTAATTCAAGATAAAGATAAGAGTCAAGTTTGAGAGAGTCTTTCGAGTCATTTTGAGAAGTCTTTTACAATCTTTTAAAACTTGTTTTAAGACTTAAGTAGTTGAGTTTGAGGATGAGGAGAGTTGAGCTTCATTTTTTAAAAATTGATATATTGGAACTAAGTATTCCCGAGAGTAAATATTTTTAAATTTTAGATGTGAGGAAACACCGATTTCCAAAAGAGTTCATGAGGAGTTTTGAGTACTATCTCTTTTAAGAGAAACCTTTTTGAGTAATAATCTAAGAGTTGAGGATGATGAAATGTTTTTTTAAAAAAATATATGAGCTAAGTTATATTTTGGGAGTAGTATTGAGCACCGATATGGGGGAGAGTTCAGACAACGCACAACCCCCATAAACCATGTAGCCAACGTGGGTAGAAAAGGTCAAACTTTTTAGATGATTCTTTATTACTTTTTAAGCATAGCTTAGTGTATCCACTTAGTTGAGGAGTTCTAACCCCGACAAGGTATATGATAGTTCTGGCAGCGTGGGCGAGACGTTGTATCATCACATAGCTTATAGTGATGGTTGTCAGTTAGAGAATCTCTCAAATAGAGTTATTTTGTAATTTTACGTACAAACTGAGCTATTATTGTATTTTTAAATACATTGAGTTGTTATCTACTGTTTTAAATGTTTTATACAAACTACATCTTTATTGTTGTTTTTATATTGCATTGAGTTGAGTATTCATGAGTTGAGGTTGAGTTGAGTAGAGTCAAGGTAAGTATGTTTCCTTCTTTCCAAAGTTAAAGCTTTGATGTTATACTCAGTTTTTCCCTTACATGCTCGTACATTCAATGTACTGATGCTATTTGGTCTGCATCATGAATGCATCATTTCATGATGCAGATACAGGAGATCAGGGTCATCAACAGATGATTCGTTGATACCAGTTGCAGTTTCAGAGTTGTTTGGTGAGCCTCCTTGCTTTCGGAGGATCCCTCATTTATGTTTTATCATTTCAGTTTTGTTATTAGGATGTCGTGGGTCTTGTCCCGATGTCTGTCTCAGTTAGTAGAGGCTTCATAGATAGATAGTAGTAGTTCATGAGTCTTTTCATTTTTTTGTTAAATGTTTTAAAGACTTGAGTTGTCTATTTCTGGCTAGTAGAATATTCTTATATATTCTGAGTTTATGATTTTTAGATTTCGAGTAAAGTTCTACTTTTGAGTTTATCTTTTATTGAGAAAGTCTTCCATTGAAAATTGAGTCAGGCCAAGGGTTCGCTTTGGGCCAGCAATGGTTCTCAAGTCCCGGCCACGTCTAGGCTCGGGACGTGATAGATAAAATGAGACCTTGTATGAGGTATAACTAATCGATGGATTAAGTTAAGTAAAGTAATGGGGTATAGTACAAGTACCCCCCTAGACTATGACAGAAATCCTAGACACCTAAACTTAACTACGGTCCTATTACCCATAAACTAATTTAAAATAGAATAAAGGCCAAACACATATGCAAATCCTTAAACTTGTCCCTAAATTTCATTTTGGCACTCCAACTCAACCTTGTTCCATTTTAACCCTTCAACTCCAATTTTTATGTTCCATTTCAGCACTTCTAAGTGATGTGGCAGAGTGTGTGCATCACACTTTCTCTAAGAGAGTGAAAGACAAAAAAAAGTATTTTTTTTAAAAAAATAATAAAAGATTTCCCTTCAACTCTATTTCTTTTATGTACCATTTAACAAAAAATACTAATTTTATGATTTCTTTATTTCTATATATGTTATTCAACTGCAATTTTGCATTTTAAAAATCGGCGTTCATCCATTAGTTATTGTAAATAATTAAAATTGATGGATGATCATTGATTTTTTTAATAAAAAAGTAACAATTTCATTTTAAGAGTTTCCCTATATTTTTACGTGAAAAATAACCGACGAAAGTGCATCGATTTTCTTTAAGAAAATCAATGACAACCCAACGCAGTCTATCGAGTTTCAATATTTTTTTGTAGTGTTATTTATTAACAATGAACATGTGTTTGTTTTTTACTCGTATTT